ACATAAGATTTATCAACAAAAAAGATATCTAAGTTAACAGTAACTAATTCGAATAAAAAATTCGATACTAATAAATTCTATCGAATATAGTAATGAATTGTATAAAAAAAGTAATCATTTAATTAAGATATCAATATTTGAATTTTATAATTTATACTTTTAGTTTAGCATCAAACATTTCCGATGAGATCCATGGAGCAATTCTTAGATAGCAAGCATTAGCTCCCGGTGCGACTTCATAAAAAGGAATAAAAGATAAGATCGAAGAGAATGAAACGCACATGGTGGTTATTATAGCGGTTCCTTCTGATCCTAGAAAATGTTCGAAAAAACCAGCTACGGAACTACCGAGCAGGGGCAAAAATACGATAAGTAGATACATTAGATCGAGTGTAATCAGACAATCAAAAATTAGACAATGACAGAGGGGCCTGTGATGGAGATTGAGCGAAACAGAAGGAACGGCGCGCCAAGCATGATGAAAAACTACTGCGCGCGCTAGCGCGCAAGCGGCTGCAAAGCCGGCTGCGCGTTAGCGCAACGGCTTGAGCGCTAGCGCTCAATCCGTTGCTTGTTGCCTGAGAGCAAGCGAAGGCTGCAAGTTGAAGCGCCCGCTAGGGCACCGCAATGCGCTTTGCCATTGCAACAAGATGAAAAACTACTACACACGCTAAAGCTCAAGCCGTTGCGCTAACCTAAGGTTGTATTCCCTGTATAAAGAAGCRAAGTCAGTTCTATATTATATTAGGAAGTTCTCTTTTAAATCCTCATTCTCAACACTTTTTGAAGAAATACTTCTTCATTCAAATGGGACAAACCAGTCCTTGTTTTTTTTCTTTAATGACAAAACTATCCCCACTTGAGTTTATCATCTTCTTCCATTCGAAACCCTACAACAATAGGCAACGGCGGTGTTTGGTTGCAGGTCCACTGATGGCGTTCGACAATGAGCAAAAGCCAACCGGCGGAATTGGGTGTACAATACAGCCATTCTTGCAGGTCCAACATCGTTCTTAGTATAATACAACCGTTCTTGCCATTCTTGCCGACGAAGTTGGGTGTATAATACAACTGATGGAGATACGGCAACATCCAACACCGTTCTTAGTATAGGAATAAAAAAGTGGTGGAGGTTCTTACAATACATGTAAAACGGCTATAGGAATCACACTCCCAAATATATACTCGATGTACTCCCAAAAAGTGGTGGAGATTCTTAGATTCAGATCTTTGGGAATCAAACTCCCAAACAATTGTAGGAATTCAAAGCCCAAAACAAACTCCCAAATCAGCGCCCATCAATCCTATTGTGTACCTGCTCATCGGACCAGTAATTCCTTCCTATATATGTACTCAGATTCGGATCTCTGACTGCAATAAAGAAAACAAAGCGGACAGAAATTTCTGAAATGAAAACAGAAGAGGGTCATTTTAATAAATATCGAATGATTATCAGTAAAATAAAAAACTAATATAAGCAATAATTTGGATCAAGAGGAAAGGAGGATTAAAGGAACAAAATGATTTTTGTCTGTGAAATGGATTGATTAAGTACTGGCTGGAGTCGAGCTTTGAATGTAAGAGAAAGGGAGTTCGACTGTTCAAGGAGGATGGAATGGTGGAAGGTGGATATTGGAATGAATCCACCGCCACCTAGTTCTGTGTCGTGAGGAAGATGATGAACAATGGATTTCTAGGGGTTCTAAAGAAGAAAAGGAAGAAGAAGTATGAGATGGAGCGGGCTAAAATTGTCATTTTTATAAATATAAGCACTTATTGGAAAAGTAGCTTACCAAACATTACGGCCCCAACAAGTACTTAAAAACATAATAAGTGATTTGAAAAAGTGGATTACCAAACAACCTTAAAGGGTTGTTAAAATAAGTACTTCTAAGAATTAACAAGTACTTAATCATCAAATAGAGCCTTAAACAACTTAGTTAATCTTATTAATTATGGGCCTTACACTCACTTCCTTCAAATGCTGACGACCCAAGATGTTGCATGGCCAACTTAGGCCTAATTTGTATGGCGTGGAACTCTACAGTAACTTCACATAAGTCCACATGGGTTTGGCTTAACCTTTATGAAAAGACTTGGTTGAATTTACTACAAAACACAGTGAATTCAACCATCCTATAAAGACCCAAGGATAATGGACCTAAGTAAGATAAAGTGCATCAGGTAGTTAACCCTTAATGGTTTCTTACACTTAACTTCTCGGTCCATAATGATTAAACATTGCCCTGACAAGAAAGGACTTCTACCCTAGTTGTAAGGTACAGTGTCACATTCTTTGCTCAAATGGATCCCAGGAATTAAAACCATTTGCAAACCTTTGTCTGCAAAACCAAAATTCAAATATAGTTGAAATCCATTGACAACAATTTAAGTTTCCATCAGAGAGGGCGTAAGCCCTATGTTTCACTTTGTCTGACAAAGGGGCTGATCCTATCACTATGATCACTCACTTAGATGAATTCTTAGATTGCCCCAACATACTCAGGTTTTGACCCTTAATGGATTTCATTGATTGGCATTTCAAAGACAACTCAATCCAATACCTAGTCCAATACCATAATCAAATCTAGGGATTATGTGTAACTTTCTAGTTTTTCCCATCAATCTCCAAAGTTTAGGGCATAACTAGAAAATAATTTGGATTCATTGTTTCACCCAAACACACACTACATGTGCTTTGGGTCTAACTCTATCAGTCGAGACAAACTGCCCCAACTTCTTTGGTTGCAAATCAATGTTAGCCTTGGCAGGATAAACTCCCCAGGTTTATCCAACGGCTGATAACATTCTAAACTAACACAAATCTCATAAGTATTCAATTTAAGGGGTAATTACACAGAAGCATACCAATATCTACATAAAATAATAATATGCTTTTATTCATTTACAATAAATGTATTTGTACATCAATCTAATTGGAGTAAAGGGCATACACTACCTAATAGCTCCCACTTGCACTTAGGTCCAATCGGGTACAAGCCTCAGTCCCATACTGTTCACACGTTTCTCTAACACTTTTTGTGTCAGTGGCTAAATTAATGGATTTGCTACATTCTCCGATGATGCTACCTTCTGAATTTGGATGTCCCCTCTACTAACAATTTCCCGTATTTCTAGTGTTGTCACACAACTATTTTTCTTACTACACAAGGTCCCAAAGTATCTAGATATAAACTTTTTGCCATTTGGGTTAGGCTGGAAGTCAACATTGGTATTAGGGCTATTCATAAGAAGGCCCAACCCGAGTCAGCTGAGTTTTCATCAACACGGGTCGGTTTCGGGTTGTGCAAATTCCTAAACCGTTGATTTGGGTCGGTTTCGGTTTTCACACAAGAAAATCAAAACCGACCCAAACCGAACCAATTTAAGTTCCTAGTTCAAACATGAATTTCCAAAGCCCATTAGGCCACCAAGTTTTCGAATGGTTGCAAGAAACTTTGGATTAGTGAATAGTGATTAATGAACAACTTTTGTGATTAACTTTTCATTTAAATTTTATCATAGGAGATGGTTGAAATGATGTTCAATTTATGACTGTTTTTAAAATTAGCAAGATTTTATCACAGGGATGAACTTAGAACCAAAACCGACCCAAATTGACCAACCTGACTCAAACCGACCAGGTTGGTTTTGCTTAACACTGGGTTGGTTTCGATTTCTATGTCAGGTAACCCGATCAGGTTGGGTCGGTTGGAAAAATCGCAGTAAACCAACCCAACCCGACCCGTGAACAGCCCTAATTGGTATAACTGACCAAAATCAAACTAGGTTGGCTAATTTGGTTTTTTCAGTTAACCGAATTTCTAAACCTAAAAACCAAAACCAAAAAAGCCAAACCAAAATAACCAAAACTTGAAAAAATAGAACCAAAATTTTCGGTTTTAACTGAATAATGCTCACCCCTATCAATTTGATTTGAATGGTTGGATTTCTTAGTCACCACTTTGATAAAGAATTGTTTTGTTATTGGGTTAGTTTTAAGATATTCGGGTTTATATTATTAAAAATATTGACATAAATCTAATTAGTATAATTTATTAATGAAAAATAACTTAATATAGGATTTAATAAGCAAAAAATGAGATTTTAAGTTATAAGACTTAATGATAAGGGATTAAATGGGGTGGAATGTAATAATCATGGTTTTTAGAACTAAACCGATCAGGGGTCCAGTTACCGGTTTGAACGGTCTGATTGTTCGACCCGAACGGTCAGCCCATTCTGACAAAAAAATAATAATAATAAACGGTCAAAACCGTTTGAACGGTTAAGTGGCCGATTCAACGGTTTGCTGACCAAAATCAACGGTTTTGGGGAAAAACGGAACCGGTCAGGTCAGGTGATCGGTTCATGGTTTTTCCGGCCCAGTTTTGAAAACCATGGTAATAATTGAAGTTACGTTTTCAAACTTACAATTAGAGATGCACTAAATCGACAAATATGAACATTTTAGTAGCCATTAAAATTGGCATTAAAACTATAATAAAATGACTTTTATACCCTTTCTCAAACAATAAAATAGGGGTAATTTTAATCTAAAAAAACTTCCACTTTGCATTCCTACTTTTATATATAGTATAGATATTCAGTGATGAATGCCCCGCTAAGGATACTCATGTAATTGTTCTTATTTTTTTACATCATTGGGAGGCTAGAGAGAGGTTTAAAATTACTCTATTTTCTTGTTCATTTTCTTCCATCATCTTCCACCAACACTTCTCTCTCTTCAATCTTCTTATTTTCTTTTTTTTCTTTTAATTCAGATTATTGCAAGTGTGATTTACAACTAATATATATATATAATATTATATTTAAATAATAAATAATATATTATATATTATATATAATACATATTTATAAATTTATAATATATAAATATATAAAATATATAAATAATATGATAATATACCTAAATACACAATATATATAGAATCAACTTTTCTTGCTCACTCCTATGTGTGGCAGTGGCAGCAATTGCTATGAGTCGCGCTTTTGAAATAAGAAAATACAGACTTTGCACCGTACTCTCTTTTCAAATTAAGCCTCGAGAATCCCAACAGCGACGAAACCGCTGAGAAGCGCAAACGTGGAAGCGCGTCGCAGTCACTATAACTTCACCATGGCTCGACCCTTTTGCCGCGAACCTGCGACCCTTTTGCCGCGAACCCTTTTTTTGTAGCCTGTACCCGAATGCTGCTACAAGCATAATCCAACGACACAACCAACCAAGAATCAACACTCCATTAACATTCTCCACACTCCTCCCTCCCTCTTTCTCTCCCTCTCAACCCTAAATCTGGCGATCTTCTGTAAACTGTTAATCTGAAAATCAAAATAGAAGGGATGGAGCTGCAGACGAATCCGCATCTATTCGAGAAACGCCCCATTCTCAAGTCTAAGTCTCCTGCCGTCAAATGGTTCAAGGAATGGTCAGTTAGCCCTTTTCTCTTCTTCTTCTCTGCTTTTGTTTTCAGGGTTTTATTTTTTTCTTTCATTCAATGGTAATTGTAATTGATACATGCCCGTGCTTTTCTTCTTAACTTTTTGTCTCTTATTATTATTATTTTTTTTATTTGGACCTTTTTTTAATACTTTTTGGTGGCATTGGACGTTGGTGTTGTTGTTGATTTGTTGACGGGGCTTATATCTGTTTTCGACTTGTGCTTTGTTCATTCATGGAAATAGAATTATTTAATATACTTAATTAATTGGTTCTGATTAAAGAAAATGGAAAAGAAAATCTTGTTAAGCTTTATATTATTTTGCTTAAACTGATTTCAGATGATCTGAGTTTGTAGGAGAACGCCTAGAGAAAACGATTTCTGACTTCGCTTTCATCTCTCTCTCTCTCTCTCACGCACACATAGAATGGTGCATTGCAAGGTTTCCTTTGGTTTTGGCTTACTATGTATTTATATTAAACTTTTGGGAATCAATCAACTGACTAATCCTTATCCTAACCCCTCTTTTTAGTCAAGCCTTAACCTAACTTTTACAGAAAAAAACTATTCTTGTGATTTCTATAGATTTGCTTTATAATTATTGAAGAAATTTCCTTTATAATACGTTAGTTTGTTTATGGGGCTACTTTTGTAATTTAATATTTGTTCTCATCATTATTAATTTTCTGGGTATCATATCTAGGTGTAGGTTTCATTATATCAATCTTTCTGATAACCTTATTTTATCTTTTAGGGTGCCTCAAGATGTTGTTTCTACTGGTGGAAAGTGCTACCTTTTGAAATGGGTTACAGGCAAGTTTTACTTCCTTCCAATGATTCATTTATCAAAAATTTCAACTCTGAAATATATTGGGTCAGTTTCTATCTGTAGGGTAGCATGCCCATCTTGAATTAAATGAAGTCTCCATAAAAGCTAACATATTATCTATGTGTTTCTCTTTGTTTGTCTTGTGATTTAGAAAATGTTTTACGACTTGTTATGCCTATTTGGCACTGATAATCTCTGTTTTGCTAGAGCAAGTTATACTGAACAGATTTAGGTCTTGCTAGTCTAGATTTCCAAAATGAAATGTGATTGAAAGAGAATTATGAAAATGTGATAGAAGCATAGTGACTAACACTAGAAATAAGGCCTGAGTGCACATTGAAATCTCACTCCAAGGTTAGAGTTTTGGACCTTTCTAGCTTCATTAGTTGAACAAAAGGATTAAAGATATGATAATATAAATACTTACCACACTATTTTTTGAACAGCACTTTACATACTTTTGGGAAGTGACAAAACATGATATTTGATACTAGATGTATTGGTTATATTTGACAACTTTCTTATTTGTTTTTCAAATAGAAAAATATTCAGCAACATCTCGTACAGCTTTTTGGAAGGATCTTTCCTCTATGCAAATATTTTACTTATAAAGAAAACATCTAATAGTTTTCTTAACAAAGCTTCATGAATTTTATAAATATTACAAGCTTCATGATGCAGAAATGATGCAAGCATGAAGAAGGGAATGAATCCATGGTGAAAGAAATCAGTTTTCTCTCAACTCCTCATTCAATGGCAATTTCATAATTTTGTGTGTTTTGGATGGTATTTTGGTTCTTTTCAAATTTATTTCCAATTTGGTAGTTCTTAAGAAGAGGGTTTTTTTAGAAATTTATTAGTATTAGTGAAAATCAAGAGTACTATAATTTCCAGTCGTGCTAGTTATACTAATGCCCGTAATTACTATTTATGGTAAAACCAAAATTTGTTCTGCTATCCTTACAGTAAGTTTTAATCGCATTAGTAATGGGTTATTAGAGTTATTTTAGGAGTTAAATTCCTATTTTTAGTGTCCCTGTTGGGTTGCCTGAATTTTGAAGCAATTTCTTTTTGATCAGTTTCCTAGTTGAAGTTAGAATCCATAAAGGGAGATCTGAGCTATCATGGTTAATACATAAATAAAGTCATTGTAATTGGAATTTTAGAGTGGGAAATAATGGAATGAAAAATTTATTTTCAAGTTACATGCAGGTAATAGTGTTATCCTCTCTCTCTCTCTCTCCTCCCTCTAAAAGTGCTTTGTTTCTTCTCTTTCTCTTATCTAGTCAACTCTGAATATCTTCTCACACAATTCAGATCCTCAATGTCCCCTTCTTCACCCATCTACCTAAGATGTAGCTAATTGGGTGGTTAAAATGGGCCTAAGCAAGCTGGAATCAGGCCACAAAGTGCTTCTTAGTTTAAGATTTAGCTTTGGTTTGCTCACCAGGACGGGTAGAACTTAAACGAGATCAAGTAATCAATAAAACTATTTATAAGTGAGTGAAGATGATATGAAATAGAGGCCATTCAAAAAAAAGATGAACTGAAATAGAATTCACAAGTTTGTTGAGTATATAGAATTTAGTCAATAATAAAAAGATATCAAAGGAAAACAACTGATAGTGGCTCGGTTGGTAGGATCTTTGACTCGTTGTAGCAGAGACCTGGGATGGGGGATGGGCTACTCCCCGTTGTGTAGCCCCATGAAGAAAAAAATATCAAAGGAAAAGAAAAAAAGGGGGAATAATGGGATGACAAGAAGACAAATCAAGAAGTGGAGAAGATGATTCAACAATGAAGAAAGTATGAATAAAAGAGTTAATCTAAAATAACAAAGAAAGGCTTTAATAGGTTGCTATCCAACAAAAGATTGATATACCGGATCAAAAATACCTAATGGATTTGGCAGTTTGGCACTATTAGGCTTCCCTAAGAGTCGGTACCTGGAGATGGAAGGAGTGCACCTTCAAGCTTGGAGTCAGCAGAAACCATAAAATTGTTGGAAGAAGAATTCAACTTCGTTCTTTCATTCATCAATGCCCAACAGAATGTTTACATGGCTTCATATAGAGGATTCGGAATATCTCTTTGGAGATCTACAATATATTTATCTTTCTAAACAGTGAGACTAAAAAAGATGTCTTTGCTAGAAAATGAATCTTCTAAATCCCTAAACATTTAGCAAACCTTGAAGATGAAAAATTTGGCTACGAAAATATTGAGAAGATTTGACTGGAACTTGATCCTTTTCCTATCACAGGGGTCTACATGAGTTGGCAACCAACCTCTTGGGCTTATTGGAATGGAGTCAATTTTTAGACCTTTGGATCAACTCAACAATTTATTGGGCTTTGGTTGTGTTGGTTGGGGAGTATTTTCAAGCCCATGGAATTGAGTTGTGTTCACATATATTTGTGAAAATATGATATCTAAGCCCATTATGATAGCCACTGGAAGGCCTATACAGATTTAGGGGAAGGACCGAAGGAATGGGTTTAACTTCCTTTCCTCAACCTTTCACTTGTTATCATGATGCAAACAGAATATTGGAAACCTGTAGGTGGGAGGGGAACTAAAGATAGAGCATGAAATCAGCTCATTGAGCAAGAGAATTATTTGGATTTCTGGAGATGAGAACTTGTACTTTTTTGGTGAGCTTAAATAGGTGGGCTGAGGTATACAAGGAAATAATTTTTTGTTTTGACCTGGAGTAAAGGTAAAAAAAGCTTGTAGGGAAGATAGGAATGTTTAATGTTGAACAAAAATTGTTTCAGGGTTGGTGATTTGTTAACACGGAAAAATAAGGAATGCTAGAAGCAGCACAATAAAAATGAATAGATAAAGAGAAAAGATACCTGGAACTCTATCATGCAAGATTTTGTTAAAAAATAACTTTATTCACAGTTGTTGTTGGTGTTACCTAGGTGGCTAGTGCCTTAGGCTGTGCCTCACCAAACACCTTGTTTATAACTACAGGGTGCCACCTAGACAACAAAAATGACAAGGTGGGGGCATTGTAAAAGTATAATTTATGTTGCTACATCTTATTAGAATGTGTGTTAAATATATTTTTATCATATAGAACATTTATACTTTGTTTTAAAGTTTTACTATTGAAATTTAAAAGATCCAAAGGTTTTGGGAAGAGAAAAAAGAAAGATTGAATATAAGTATAGAAGTTTTTACCTTTTTTATTTATTGTAAGGGGGTTTTGTTTGTAATACCTTATCTTTATGTTGAATTGGTTGCTGAGGCTATCCACCTTTTAAATTACTGCTGTACTCTTCTCTTGATCTTGATAAATTTATTGTTTGTATTGATATAAAAGTACTGATGGCAAAGAAGCTTTTTTTTTTCTTTTTTTTTTTAAATTTTATTCTACTCTGATGCAACAAAAAAATATCAAAACCAGTAGGAACAACAGCAAGAAGTGATAAAACTTGAGGTAAGACAGCACAAGTAGAAGTCGGAACGAAGTACAATCCAATTTTAGGGCTAAAATTATCACTGCAGAGGATAGTATATGTCTTTAGGGTTTTGAATATAGCAAAAGATCCTTCTACAAACAAGATTTAAGGCTTATGTAGCTATCTCCAAGCAAAGTGACGCTTGAATACCCAATTTGACCAAAATACCCCAACTTAAGTGACTTGCACGACCACATGTAGGGGTGATCATGGGCCAGGCCGGGCTTTGCACTTGTGACAAGGGCCTTGGCCTGGCCCAGGTTTTGGGCTTGGGCCAGGTTGGGCCTGATTTTGGGCTTATTATTTTTATCTATAAATGCATTAAATATATTTAATATTTTATATTATGTGCATATAATAAGTGTATACAATTTATTTTAAACATTATATAATGTAAAATATTATATCTAATTGGTATTATAGGTGTTGTTATAACATTTGTATATAAAACATAGAATATAACATGAAACAAAGTTACACATATGTATAAATTATATATGTTTGACATATAAATATATACGGCCCAGGCCTGAAGGCCCTGAACTGAAATATTGAGCCCAGGCTCAGCCATGAAGTTTGTGGGTCCCCGGGCAGAGCTGAAATGATCACCCCTAGTCACATGTCACATGATTTACCTTAAAAGTAAAATACTATGACACTAACAACCAACTATAAAAACCCAAATAAGATATACAACTCGAGAAACAAGAAAATAAAGACGAATAACTAGCTTGGCCCCCTAGGAACCAGATGCTAAGCCGAGTTATATGTGGACCCCACGAGTTCCTGCATCAACCTCCCTAGGTTTGAAACTTGACTTGGACAAGAAAACCTGGAAATTGTTGAGCTCGTGGCTGCATTCAATGTTTTCAACTTTTTGCCGACCCAGATGGTCGAACTGTTCAAGTCGTCTTCTGGTCCCATTTTCAAGTCCAGTTTTCCTAAAACCTGGAAATTGACCAATAACTGTAAGCTTGCCACCAAGCCAATTTGGTGGCGCAATGAAGGCGGAACCAATAATAAACAATAATTGTGGAAAGGAAGCTCTTGTAGATTTGGGAGTGGAAAAGGATCCACAGGTTTGTCCATTGTCAACTGAGTCTTCTATTCAGAATATAATTGTAGAGGAGTCACTGGTTGTTTCCCACAATCTTAATAGTGAATCAACAAGTCTTTTTAGAGAAGGGAGATTGGTGAGGAAGCAGAAACAGTGGTGAATGACAACATTAACTCTGTTTGCAGCAAATGAGTTATCCTGAAGATGTCTCAGAGGGAAGCTTACTTGTTATAACTTGAATTTGATTTCGGAGGTTAATAGAGCAGTTAGTAAAGTTCAGAAAGGAAAACAGTCAAAAAACAATTTGGAAGGAGTTGAGAGGGGATAATCCAGACTGTCGTGAAAAGCTTGAAATTTATGAGTTAAGGAAAATAGGCATGAAAATATATAAGGGAGAAAGCAAATATAGAACAAAGCCAATAAGAGTGGAGGAAGAAAGAGAAAGCATAGCTGTAGA